ATCCCCCCCCCGCCCCCAGGGAGATAGCCACACCACACTCCCTTCTCCTCCATTCTCTTCTCAGGATATTGGGCAAGGACATGTGCCAGGCATAAGGTTTAAGCCGCTGGGTCCAGGACTTGAACTGCGGTTGACCATGTGGGAGTCCAGCGCCTTAACCACTATGCCATGTGCTGGCTCAACAATTGTCATTTTAAAGCAGATAGACTGACAAATACAGAACTGATCAGGAGGACATTTTTATTTTATTTTTTAAATTATTATTCTTACTTTTTAATAACATTTGATCGCTATACATCATTTGGCTTACAAAGAGAATTTCCCCAACCTGAAATACATCACCAGTCCAGTTGAGAGACTATACATATTATCATCAATAGATAATAAATCACTTCTGTGTCTCACAAAGGTCTTGCCTCTATTTCTTCTCCCCAATTTCCTTCTCTATATTCTTCCCTTCTCCCACTGTCCTTCCACGCTGTCTCCAGTGTCCATAACTATTTTCACTGTTTTTATGAGGAGGGCATTTTTCCATCTTCACTAATAACTGACACTTTCAGAGGTTGTTACAACATACTGAACAGGTATTTTCACATATACCTGTTTATACAGAGAAATATGCCTAGCTTAGCAAACAAACTGATGACTATGAATTAAAATATGGCTTCAAATCATACTACCTAACCCCCTAAACCCTTCTCAAATTTAAGTTACAGGCAGTTTTTATCTATAGTAGAAATTATCACGTTGGCAGAATAAATCTATTCAGAAAACCTTCCACTAATTAAATATTCTGAAAAGCCACAGAAAGGTCAGCATGCAGAACTACACTATCTTAACTTAAATTAAAACAAAAAGCCAGAAGCAATTCATCATTTTCTGAGACACTCTTCCTCATTCTTCACTTTCCAAACTTTATCCCCACTTTCTCTTCTACCACTTCCCCTAAAAAAACAAACAAACAAACAAACAAAACAAACAAACAAAAAAACTAAGGGCTTACCTAGAACATCAAGATCAAGGGTCCGTGCTAGTTTTCTTGCACCATCAGCACCAAAAATATGAGTTTTGTGTTTACATTTGGGACACTGGAAAACACTCATGTTTTGGATAAGACCAAGAACCTAGAATAATGAAAACATATCAAAATAAAAATAAAATTAAACTAGATCTTAATACATACTTCAACAAGTTTTTACTGAGTATCTACTAAGGTCTAGTGATACAGGGATGAATAACTACAATCTCAGTGCTCAAGAAACTCACATGCTAGTGAGAGGGCCATACGTATGTAATTAATATGACACATGCTACAGAGAGATGAGTAAACAAGAACCAAAAATTTGTCGGGGGAGAGTAAGAGGAATCCTTAAATTGCCCATCAACAACTGTTTATTCAGGTTGGGGGTGACAAGAGGGGAGAGGATACAGCAGGAAGTCTAGACAGAAGAAAGCACAAGCCAGGGAAGCAATATTGGGTTGTTGAGAAAGTCATGACTCATTTTTGCATAGAAAAATGTGCATACTGTTCCAATGACCCAACATAAGTATGAGTGGCCTATTTAGCCTGCAACTCCATGGGTGGTCAAGGCAGAAGATGGTTTGGTAAGGAAGGTTAGGGTCCGATGATAAGGTGCTAAATCCGGCCATGTATTTTGAGCCTTTCTTTTTCAGGTAAAAGGAAGCCACTAAAAGTTTTTAAAGTTGAGAAGATATAATGAAAGAGATATAGTATATAATTAGACTTGTATTTTAGAAATTTAGCTCTTCTAAAATCAAGGACAAAAATAAGAGGGGGAAAAAACAGAGAAAACTAAATAGTTAAGAGGTTAACTGTGAACAAAGACTCATAAATAATAGCTACATATTCTGACTACTTCTTATTGCCAGGAACTAGAATAAGTGCTTAAACATATTATCTGATTAATATTTGTTCACAAATTATTATCACTATTTTTTTATTTCTGCAATAGGTTAAAGCACTCGACAGAGAAAGACATTGAGAGGGGAAAGTGAGAAATCACCTCCCACCCAGGGGGGATGGCCACACCACAATCCCTTTTCCTCCATTCTCTTGGGATTTTGAGTACTCACACACATGCCTGGTGTGATTTTCAAATCGCCAGGTCCAGGACTCAAACCATAGTTGGTCATGTGGGGGGGGAGGGGGTCCAGTGCCTTAAGTGCCACACCGTCTACTAGCCCTCAAAAACTTTATAAAATGAGTTTTTATCATCCCCATTCTATATGTGAGGGAAAAAATGCTAGCAAAAGAGTGAAACTCAGCTGTTAACAGAATGTTTTTGTTTAAAAATACTTTAAAAGTTTCACAGAAAATGCCCATGTCTTTCTGAGTTCTTCCAGCTTCTGGTACAAAACAGATACTTAATAAACATTACTCCACAATATTGTTGAGCAAATAAACAGGCTCTACAAATATAATCAGTATTTATGTTCCTTTTAATCCCACTTTCTTACTGATGAGAAGCAGCGGCTTTCTTTTAGAATAAAAGTGCAGAAAATGACTATCAGAGACTTAGAGATAACAACGTCTGTATCATCCTATCAATTCTACCATAAGATTGTCATTATAGGAGATTATTAGAATGTTTGCATTTTAAATGAAGAACAGCTTTGATAGTCTATGATGAAACATATAGACAAGAAAATGATAAAATCTTTTATTCTCTCTGAAATGAGAAACAAAAAAGAAAACCTAAAGTTGTCCACAAACATGCAATTGAAGAAAAATACTGAAGGATATAAATTTGTTGAAAGGCATTTTCCAAGCATCTAGTATATGCCCTTTTATTGATGCAAAGTATCTCAAAAAATAAATCATACTACGTTTTGGTAATTCAGTATCATCACCAGAAAGCAAGAAGAAAGCACAGCTTAATATCACACGGCTTATCTGTTCATTCACATTGTCTATATAATACACTCATTGCTTGGGCAGTTTTACTGCCATTTATGTTAAGTGTGATATATACCCTGACTACAGGGCTTCCAACTTAAATATAACAATATCATTCAAGGAATAGAAAGGGGGAAAACATTTAAAGAAAATGAAAATCTAGGTGAGAGCAAATTTCAGTGCAGAGAGAAGAGGAAAAGCTGTACCACTCTGGATTCTTTTAGTCTCTCCCAGACATAGCAGCACAAAGTAAGGGTGTATTTGCACTTTGTGTGATTTCCTTATTATTGAATTGTTCTCTATAGACTGTGTAAATATTCTCATGTTCTCTATAGACTACATAAATGTTACTGACATAAAATAGAAAACTGTAACAAAACTCAGTATTTAATAAGCAATTTAATAATAAATAAAATTAATGACATAATAAATGTGTCAGTAATTGCATTAAACACAAGGGGCAGTATCCAGTAGTGAGCAAAACAGCCCTTAGCCCCTTGGAGTTGTGCTCTAATTGAAGAAATGGATTAAACAAATAGTGTAAAAAGTACTTCTAAGCAGATGGCATAATGATTATGTCACTGGACTCCCACATGGCTGACCATGGTTCAAGTACTGGATCGGGTGGCTTCAAACTCATGCCAGGCACATGTGCGTGTGTACCCAAAATTCCAAAGGGAGAATGGTTAAGTGTAAATGGTACAACCAAATTTTAAAATGTTGGCACTGGGTTAGCCTATGACATGATGGTTAAGGAAGCTGGATCCCACAAGGCTGATTTCATGGTTCAAGTCCAAGACCTGGTGGCTTGTAAAACATGCCAGACCCATGTGCACGCATACCTAAAATCCCAAAAGAGAGAGAAATGGAAGAGAAGGAATTGCAACATGACCATTTGCCCATTGGGGGAGGGTGCTTTCTCACTCTCTCTTTCTCTCTCTCACCATATATATCTGGTGAGTACATGCACCCTCTGGCAAAATTTAAAAAAAATTATAGGACTACCTACTTAAACTGATCCATGGTTAGACCATGGCACAACAATTCCACTGTCAGTTATGTACCAACAGAAATATAAACACAATGTCTACTAAATGAGGTGTACGAATATGTTCATAACAACACTTAGAATATTCAAAAATGGGAAACTATCGGGGAACCAGCAGTTAGTGTAATGGCTATGTTGCTGGACTCCCACATAGTCGACTGCGGTTCACGTCCTGGACCCGGTGGCTTAAAACTCATGCCGGGCGCGTGTGCGTGTGTGCCCAAGATCCCGAGAGAGGAGAATGGAGGACAAGGGATTGCGGCATGACCATCCCCCCTGGGGGGTGATTTCTCGCTTTCTGTCTCTATGTCTCTCTCTGTCTGGAGAGCGTACGCGCCCTGTAGTGAAAACTTCTCCAAAAAAAAAAAAAAAAGAAAAGAAAAGGGAAACTATCCAAATGTCCATCAAAAGCAAAAACATATTGTAGTATATTCACATAATGGAATGATACACAGAAATGAGAATGAAAAATTATAACTACAATCAACAGTGTGAGTATATTCACAAACATAATTTTTTCTTAAAATGTGCAATAGCATGTGCACTCACCAAAGCAGGAGAGAGAATGAGAAATCACCCTCCAGAGGGTTTGGCCACGCCACAATCCCTTCTCTATTTTCCTCCTGGGATTTTGGGAATGTATCCACATGCACCTGGCATGTTTTCCAAGCTGCTAGGTCCAGGGCTTGAACAGTGCAGTTAGTCATGTGGGATCCAGCCACCTTAATCACCACGCCACTGGCTAGCCCCTCAAAAACATCATTTTAAGCAAGGTAAGCCAGATATACAAAACTGTATACTTTAACATTCCGTTTATGGGAAGTTCACAAACAGGTAAAGGTTAGCTATTGTGTCACAATTTGGGTTCTGCTTTGCAGGCAGGGATTAAAGGTAGCACAAGGAATGTGTTCCTGGGGTGGGGGAGATGTTATATTTCTTTTTCTTTCTTTTGAAGTTTTATCTTTTGACCATTATCTCCATACCCCATTCTTCTTTCTTTCTCTTTCTTTCTTTCTTTCTTTCTTTCTTTCTTTCTTTCTTTCTTTCTTTCTTTCTTTCTTTCTTTCTTTCTTTCTTTCTTTCATAACATTTTACTATGATTTAGGGTCCCACCCCCCAAGTGAACGAAATTAAACACCTAACAACTCAGGTATCAGACAGACTCAGAAGGTGTTCACTTTGTTCAAGTTCTGCTTTCAGGCGTTGAGTGTGTCATACAGTTGCTGCCACTGCTGCTTCCCAAATGTCCGGTGTGCGCTATGACTGACAACGAATTTTCACTGGGTCTGATCAATTTTGCAGTAGACTGTTTTAGTTCTTACTGTATCAATAACAAATGCCTCACCATCATCAGCTCCAATCTGAAGTTCTTGCTGCATCGTATCAAAAGAAATTTCTTTATTTTCCATGGCCATTCCTATAAAAGTAGGCAGTCTCATTATGGCCATATTCTGTTTATGCAGCAGACCAAGTAAATCAATGAAGTCTTTATTATTCTGATAAAACTTGACATGTGTTGCCAATTTAGCACTCACAAAAATGGCTAGGAGATCATGAATGAGCTTGCCTTCCAAAAACTTGTCTGGCTTTAAAGTAAGATGATCAAAAAGAAATGCATTTGGATCTTTCAATGCTTGCTCGATGCACCTGTGGGCATCCACCCGTGCCTTTGAAACATTGTCCTCTGTGTTACTTCCAAGCAACTCCACCATGACTTTTGAGGTAGCGTCACTTTTCTTAAAGTCTACAAGGGCCTCGTAAAGCAGCCTCAGCAGGGTATGCTTTTTCTCAGTGTTCAGGTTCCAATCGGAAATCCACTTTCTTACCCATTCCAGCTCAGCCGGTATGTACTGGATGGCCCCGCATGCAGCAGCCACCTTGATGAAGCTGCAGTACACCGTGCACCTCATGGGCATGTTCTTGTCAATACTGTGGAAAAGGTTGCTCAGCAGCTGCAGCCTCTCAGGGACGGGCATGATCCTTCCCAAAACTTGACCAGCTTCTCAAAAAAAAATTTTTTTTTTTGGGGGGGGAGGTTTTTGTCATAGGGCACATGTGCCCGCCAGACAGACAGACAGACAGGAAGCGAGAAATCACCCCCCAGGGGGGATGGCCACGTCGCAATCCCTTCTCCTCCATTCTCCTCTCAGGATCCTGGG